ACACACCACAAGCCTCACCGAACGTCTCCTTGCTACTGCGATCTCGCCCACAGGAAGCCACAACCGCATGGCCGCAGGGAAAATGGCCGCGGATCCGGTTCGTAACTCGAGGTGGAGTTCGCAAGTCAAGGTAAATTTTTGGGGCCGGAGCTGGTCGTATCTCAAAAAATTCGTAAGGAGGGGTGTTCGTAACTCGAGGTACCACTGTAGCTAGTTTCCAAAAGCTCTGGAGGGAATAGAGAGTGGAACGGATGCTATGAGGAAGTGTCCTTTGTCAGCCCAAATGTTAATGGTGAGCCTTGTTGCCACTTCCCATCGCCTGTCACTCTGTATGGTCACCTTGAGCCCTCATGCGCTGCAGATCCTTGGACTTTGGCCCTGCGGTCCAGTCTTACCTGTACCACTGAAAGGATGGTAGAATAAAATAATTATAAATATATGCATATGGGCTTATTTATAAAAGGTTTGGGGGCACTAATCTCTCTATAGTCTCAACCCACTCCTTTGCTCTTGGATTACTTGAGCAGAGTCAGTAAATGAAACCTTGTCCATGGAGTCTTACACTGCTAGACTAGAATACGGAACTTTTCCTCCTGCATAAGTAATTGTTGCTTTAGATTAGTCAAGGGAAAACAGCAACAGTCCCTTTTCATGGAGTCTAGAGTAATTTCCTCCTCTAAATATTTAATTTTCTCCTTCATCTGATCAAGCATTTCCCCTTAGTATTAACTAGGATTAATACAAAGCTCCATGAACACTATTGTTGCTGTATACATAAATCCTATTTAATAATAAGTCATTTAATAAATAATTTAAAAGTATTCACAGTAGGTTCTCCATAGTACAGTTAGATTGGTGTGAAGACAGCTGGGGAGATTCAGTTATAAAGATTCTTCAGAGAAGAGAGCTTGAGATTGCCAGTGATAGTAATTTTTATGTCTGTATGCTCTCTGCGAATATGTGAATGTAAATTAGATTTTAAAAATATCTTGTGTTGTTTCCTGATTTTTTTAACCTCAGAAATGAGGTTAAATGAGAAAGAGAAACCACCTCTCTTTTCCTCCAATTCTGCCATACTAAATTAAAAGCTTTATTTTCTAGTTTTCATTACGTACAGTTTACTACTACACCCTCGTATACATTTTATTATTTTGTGTAAAAACTAGAATCACTGGATACTTTTTTTTAAATAAATGAATAAAATAAAAAGGAAGGCTTAAACAATTTGCTTAATATTCTTATAGTTAATATTCCTATAGTTTGTTGAAGGAAACTATTTAACTTGGGTGAAAGCTGGGCAGTGTCAGAGAGATCACAGTTAATTTAGTTTGTTGAATTCACAGGAAATGGTAAGACTTGGCTAATTTAAAAAATTATAATGGAAATTTATTATTTTCTTACAGCCATGCTACAAGGGTAGGGAGAAAGATGAATGTGCAAGTCAGGAGTTTGCTTGACAAGCAATGGCTTATTGTGACATTGAAACTAGCCATACTGTACATTGTCAAAACCACAGCCCCAAGAAGATGGGGTTTGAGAGGTTGTCATCCTATTTTTCACTAATTGAATTTGAGCTAAGCTCATCCCAGAAAGAAAGTTCCTTAGTGAATTATTTATTCAGTGCCTCTGAGTGCAAATGTGGTGCATGTTACTCCTGTTTGTAACTGAAGCACAAGAGGCTGTTGAGAAACGTAACTTCCAAAATTATCCCTGATTAGTATTCCCAATGAATGCTAACCTACAAAGCAGAGATTTGGTGTGCCTTTCATCTTTTGTTATACCTGGTAAAATTGCCAAAGATGTTTAGATACACAACACCATGGCAGATTCTCTACCTGTCAATGGAACAAGTTTCAAGGGTAAGATGTTAATTTTCTTTATAGTCTGTTTTCTTAATTTAAAATGTTGACATGTACCTTTTGGGGGGTAGGGACTGTAAAAGTTGGATAGATGGAAACAATTTTTATTAGACTGTTTTACATGTAAAATAAGTATTAGAACTATAGACAAATACTTATTTTAAATGTGAAAATACTGGTGTTGACGTGAGACTGTTCCTGTCAATTTCAAATGAAAGAAGAAATAAATGAGAAAAGTTAGGGGGAGGATCCACGCATTGCAATTGAGTGCTAAGCACCAGATTAACTGCATCCCCAAGTTCATTAAGTTATTCATAGAAGTGAATTTTCATTTACTTGGGACAAAGTTATTCTGTTCTTGCATGGGCACTGAGAATCTAACTCCTCCTCTGGTTTGTATAACTTCACCTTTTAATCTGCACCAACCCATTCAGAGTTCTGTCTTTGGTTCACAAGGGCAGGAAGCCTTTTCTCCGATAAGAAGCACATTCTCTTAATCTTTTGTGGGCAACATGCCAATAGTGAACAAGGCTGGAATTGGCAATGAATAGGGCCAGTGCCCATCACTGGGCAGGTCCAGAGCCACTTCACATGTGCCCCCCCCCACTATATCTACAGTCTTTCATACGTATACAAGCAAGAACACCGCCCATCCATTTCTCTTCGTAATCTCATCCATTGATCTTCATGCATATGTAAGTACATACACCATTCATCCATTATGCATTTTCTTTGTTTAGCTGATTCATCCTATTCATTTTTAAATCAATTTATTATCTTCCAAATTGATACATAGCTTGAATATAATTGAAAATCAAATTCTCTCCAGAATATTTCTCATCCTGATTCTTTGACTTAATATATTTTCCCCATGCTTATTTTGCATCCACCATCTTATCTGTTGGTTCATATACAAGTCCCTGCTCTTTTTCTTGTAGCTTTCTGGAAAGGAAGGGGGCAGCCATTTAACTCATGACTTTATCAACTTCTTGCTCTGCTGCTTCTCTAAAACACTGTTTTGGAGGGGGAAAGAATGGGGGTAGGCAGGAAGTTGGTGCTGGAAAGTTTGGGCTGAAAAGGTGGACCTTGTCAAAAAGGCTTCAGAGCCACGACTTTAATGGCTTAGGCTGCACTGAGAGAGAAGTTGGGTTTACACACTGCACTAAACAATGTTTTTGTTTTTAGTTTAGCATATTAAATCCAGCTTTTGTGAATTATAACCATGGTTTATATTTTAACATGATTTCCTATTCCAGACAGTTGGGGTTTATTCAGTAAATCATGGTTGAGCAAACCACAGCTTGATATGTGTGAACTTGGTAGACATGTTTAAAGCAGGTTAGTTTTTCCACAAGGAAGAGCTTCATTCGCAAAGCAGATGTAACTTTCTTCATCAAGATGACAATATACTACGTATTTGTTTTGGAGGGTGCACTGTGTCATCTTGCAATCCTAGATTGTTACTTGCAGTAATAAAGTAACTTCTGAATATGCACAGAAATCTCTTCTGATTATTGGAACTACTGGAGAAAGGGATGAAGTACAGCAATGCAGCCATTTCTGCCTTAGAAGCAAGAATGCCATATTGCTTCACAAAACAGTTTTAAAGACATTCTCTGCCCTGCAACCATTGTTGGAGCATCCATTTGAAGATTTGAGCAGCTCTTGAACTTACATAGAGGCTCTTAACAAAGCATGCCCTTCCCACACCTTTTATCTTTTCCACTAGTGTTCTCTCTGGCTAGCACCACCCATGTTCTTCCGGTCTTCCTATTGCAGCCAACTCTAGTCTGAAGTAGTCAAGGAAAAGCTGGTTTGGTTTTGAACAGGATGAAGAGGATGCAGAATGTTGAGACTAAACAGTGGTATGGATTATGGGATGGGATGCAGAGAGACAACAGGGCCAAGAAGAAGAGGCAAGACTGCTCTGAAAGATGAGGGGAGGTGGGGCGAGAGAGATAGGAAGACCATGCTTTGTCAAGAGCTACTATATAAGCTGAAGGGTTCTACACATTAAAATCCAGGGAAACTAGAGGCAAGAAAACATCCTTTTAATGTTCTTGAATCTTACGAAAAATGGTTTAGACATAATGATATATTTAATGTATTCTGAAAGTTTACTCAGCCCAACATACATTACAAGCTTGCTTACGGGGATACTTACCCCCACACACACAGCTGTTTGTTTCTGAGCTTCTTAATGAATGAATTTGAGTCCAGCTAACAAACATGAATGTGCAAAAATCAGTTCTATATGTATCTATCCATAGAATTAATACAATAAAGGAAATATTTAATTTTCACCATTGCTTGGCCTTTATTTATAGGGGTTTTTTTTAATGTCCTCCTCAAAGTAACAATGAGTTACTATTTTGAATGCCTATGTCTGCAAGGATAATTCTCCTTTCTAAACATAATAGTTAAATATATAAATTAAGGGATTACTTGGATCTGGGCAATCTCTTTTTCTTGCTGTATGTTTTCTACGCGGAATTCTTCAAAGTGGAAATTTAATTGCATAAGACCATCTTAATTCACAGTTCCTGGACATTAAATAAATATAAAGTGTCACTCTAATAAAGGGCTTAAATGTTTTTAAATTTCTGGTCAATGTATTGATCAGCTGTAAATTTTAGAAGCCGCATATAATTTATGGCTGATAAATATATTAACTTAGATTTCACAATTTATAGAAAAAGAATCCTACTGTTTGAAACATTATGCTTCATTGGATCAGTAGCTGAAAGATTACAAATAGAATGTTACAACAATACCAAGAGTTCATACTGTCCAGAGTATCCATCAGGAAATAATCTTGACTAATTAGCCCCACAACAATGGATGATTTGTATTGGACTGATACTTCTTTTTTGGTGATTTAAAACAAAACAACCTACGTCTGCCCTCAGATATTCGAATGATACCACGAGGAATCCAAATGCTCTAACTTTAGTTTAGGGTTGGTTTGTTTTTTAAATGCTCTGGAATAGCAAGAATAGCACAACATCTGGGCAAGATGTCTACCTCGATTATACAGACAGCAGTATCCAACAAGTAAACAAGTTTCCTAGATCCTACGTGCATATTTTACACCCATAAACAGCCCATGAAATAGCAGAAACGTAAAGCAGTTCTTCACTTTGAGGGACAATATGAATTTCCGTACTTTAGCTTGAAGAATTATATTAAGGCTCCGCAAAGGTTAATGTTATTGTAAAATAGAAATATCCCGCCGCTCTCAAAATATAGGCCTGTAATTCATAGATGAGGAGCTTGAGGCCTCAGAGCCCCAAGGATCTCAGCCTTGGAGTTCTGCCCAAACAGAATTGGCACATTTGGGTCACGTGGTTTTGCACGATACTGAAGTAGGAAACCATAGGGTGAAGACTTAAGAAAGGGGTAGCCTAGGTTAAAAAAAACCCTGAAATTCTCTTCTAAGAGGGAAAATGTAGCAAATCCTGGCTTCACCCACTTTATGCCATCACCCTGGGTGCTGTGTCCTTTGTCTGCACCCAAAGTGCAGTCCCTGACTAGAAATTAGGAGACTTGGGGGGGGAGGTTTTTAAAAAAATGGGGAAAGAAACACCATTTTTGCCTCAGGTCTCCCCCACCCATTTAAAAAAAAAAAAAGAATAATTCTGGAAAAAGTAAGAAAGATTTCAGTGAAATATTTTCTGCAACATTATATAGCGTTCATATATTGGTGCCCTTCATTCCCCCATGTTTCCTATTAATTGGAAGAGTTTTATTTAAAATATTGGAGCACTAGAGATTTTTCAAAAAAAAATCCTGAAAAAATCGTTTTTCCCCAGCTTCAAATTTTCTGGAAATGTTACATCTCTATTTCTGAGAACCAAAAGGTTACCTGTCTCTGTTTTAATCATATGCAAATAATTTAGGGAGACGTTTCGTTATACATAGTGAGGTTTCTTAGTAAACAACTATGGGATATTCATTTAATCATATCAATTCTTCCCTTCCCTTTTATTTTAGAATCTTTTTTAAACTCTTCTTTTTTTTAAGTAAACAATCATGGGATTGTATAGTACATTTATTTATAACTGTCCTGTTGATAAACTAAGCAGTTTTTGCTGCAGTGATTTTGAGAATACCCTGAACTATATTTTAAGGAAACGAATCTGGCATATTTCTACCATTGCATAATCAGTGGGTTAGCTGCATGGTAAACACATGAAATCTTTGGGACCAGAAACATTTGTTTTAGCTTATGAAATCAGATTAAAGGCATATAGTTTTAGAACTTTCTTTGTCGTTATGCGTGCTTTTAGTAAACTAACCAAAGAAAAATCTAGTTGGACAATATTTTAACTGTATCATTAGTTATGATAGTTTCCATCATAAAATTTAGTTTCAGTTATTTAATTTACTGAAGATATGACCTCTTTTTTTTTTCCTTCCTTTTTTACAAGAGCAGTGGTGAGGTTTTTCATTTTCCTGTTTATACAAACTCAAATTATATATGATAGATGTGCTGGTGAATTATAGGATGTTTGTTCTATATAAACTGTGGATGAGGTATCCAGTACAGTAGATCTTGGATTTGATTGTCACTCCAGCAGGAAACTGAAGATGCTAATAACATAACTTCTTAATTGTTAATGATAAATAAGTTTTTTTTTCCCTTATAGTGAAAAAGCTAACAGCTAAATTAGTCATATCTTTTCCTAGTCTCACTTAAAATACCCACCTTTGGAAGTGGTTAAAAAACCAACCCTGTAAGATTTCAGTAAGAGTATGGTATAATTGTTAAGATGTTGGACTAGGATTACAAAGATCTGGGTTCAAGTTTGTGCTCAGCTGTGGTAACTCAGCTGTGGGTGACTTGGGTTCAGTCATTCTTTCCACCCAACCTACCTCACAGGTGTATTTTGTAGAGATAAAAGGAGGAGAGATCCATAATGCCTTGAGCTCCTATAAAAAAAGGTGGGTATCAAATTAGAGAAATATGTAGTACTTTTCATTTGCTTTGCAATGTAAGATTATTGTGTAGCCTGTATATCCAAGAGCCTCATCTAAATATTTGGTCAAGTGCAGATTGTATGGTTGTGGAAGATGTGCTTTTCCTGTCCTGTTGGTGTTTTCTTTATTTCAGCGGAGTATTTTAAAATATTAGTTATAGACCTAAATGTGTAATCTACAGTTACTGATGTGTCCCTTTACTTATCCCAAAACATTAAGAGCCAACATGTTAATATAATCACCAGAGCAAATACTAGTGGGTAAACAAAAGAATACACACAGGTCTGTTTATATAATGATTACGTTCAGCAGCAGCAGGAGCAACCAAATTGGTTTAAAAAAAAAAAATTAGCTGTCCTATATCCAGTGATAGCAGAATGGTGTACAAAAGATTACAAAGAGGCCCTATCTTAAAATACAATAAAAACTAAAGACTACAATTCTAAAGCAATTTAAAAGGCAATAAAGTGTTCAGATTAGTTTTGCAGCAAACCACTATTTTAGCCTGACCTCCATGTTTCTTGCAAAGATCCCTAAATTGGGCACCATGATAGAAATCTCTCTCCTATATAGTAGTATATATGAAACATGGCTTTGAGGACAGTCTCTCCAGCAGATGCCAATTTCATTAGTTTTCAGATGGTAGTCATCCTAATAGCCCCCTATCTTTATGGAAGACAATTAATTAAAAACAATTGAAAATGCTTTTTATCTTCATTTCTGCTAAGTGCTTCATGGTTACTGCTCTGACCATGATCGGTCTCCTAATGGAGGAGATATATTTTCAGTCTTTAGATACAGATGCTCAATATTGGATGGTAAAGCAGGCCATCCCCAATGGATATGCACACAAACAATGCAAAGCTTTCCCACATTGCCCTGGATATGCAGGATCTCCCTCCCCACCAGCTTGTCACTTAGCTCCTCAGCTGACTTACAGAAAGCTCTTAAGGGTCACAGCTTGTTTTCTATACATAGGGAATTCACAGCCTGATATTTAGGAGATATTTGGGAAAACAACAGGCACCTGCAAATTCCTCAGCTAACTTGGGAAAAGAACAGCCGGCTTACCAGTTCACAGAAACGCTGTTCGTAACAAAAGATAAACTGGGTTCTGAAGGGAAAATAATCCATTACAGAAATTACTGTAACCATATCCCACTCCCTTTCAGAAGATCTGGTTAAAGGAAACGCTGTGACAATCTGTCAAGCTGTCAGTTGAGCCAGCTTGATAATAGGTAACTGCTAGTACTCTGATTTGGGCTTAAACAGCCCTGGATTAACTATTAAGCAAAATAAACACATGCTTAGGGCAACCAGGGAAGGGGAACACCCCAGAATTTTTCACCATGGTGTGATCGATCCCTTAACTCCTTCATTGCCACACTCGACTTTAGCAGAATTTTGTGTAATTGTCCTTACCCGCCATGTTCAACTTTAATCTGCATTATTTAAAAAATGCTTTCCTTGGCATGGTGAGTGACTAAAGTTTAAAGGTTTGGTTTCAAGGTGTCAGACATCACATTTGTTTCCATCTCATGGAATGAGAGTTTCGCTTCCATCGAGGGGCGCCATTGTTGGGCTGTGCTTAGGGCATCAGTTGGCTTTAATCTGGCCCTGTTCCTAAGTGACCGTGCCCTTTTCATCTCTCCAACTACTATTATTGGTTTTATGTGGAACTGCCTTGAAGACAACCTGGAAGTTGTAGGTGGCACAGAAATATATCTGCCTACTTGCTGGCTGACCAACACTAGCCAATTCAACTTCCAAGAATTGCACTGGTTGCCAGTAGGCTTCAGGAGAGTTTGCAACAGGGGGATCTGCTAAAGCTAGCCAAGGCTCTCCTGGCCAGGACTCCCAACTGCTTGTTCCAGCAGGAGTTCTCAGTCCAGAAGAATCCCCGTTTTGTGGACCAGCTCCTTCAGGGGAAGTGCAATCTCCCGCAGAGCTGTAAATGGCACATCCGTAGAGCCAGCGGGCTTGTATGCCAGCAGTAACTCTAACTTCTTGGGATTCAGTCACAGTCTGTCTTGCCCAGCCAGCCCCTCGTAGTCTCCAGGCCCTGGGTCAGGACTTCCACAGCATCTGCTGCTCGGGCTGGAGTAGAGATATAAATCTGGGAGATTGTAGTAATGATTCCAGTAAGGTTTTTACAACAAGTAGTTTGCGTATTTTTAATTAGAGGGCTGGGTATCTGGATATAAGTAGTTTTTACTTGTGGAAGTTCCTTTTTCAGATAGCATAGAGACTTATTTACAGAAGAGAAAACTTTCTTTCCTCATCACCCCCATCTTCCATAACTACTGCAGAGAGTTAAGGATTCTCCAATCTTCTTTGTTTTTATTTTATTTGTTTTTATTCATGTAGAAATCTCTTGATTTCCTGTGGTATTTAATTGACTTCAGGCACATAAGAGGATTAACTGTAACTGTACATAACTCATGTTATATTATGCTCAATTGTTTGCCCCAGAAATGCCATAAGGGTTAAACATTTGGGGGGTTTCGTGTCAGAAAATGAGCTACACATTCAACACTGAAAATTTAACATTTTCTTTTGTTCTTGTCTGAGTTTTATTTATAGCTCGGGGATTTTGCATAGTTGGCTTTGCTAGATATACTGTATATTACATTATTGAAGCGCACTGCATGATATGAGATTAGCAGTAAACTTTTCATAGAAATTGAACGCTTATGTTACCCAGGAATGGATGTGTAACTAAATTTGAAATGAAACCACTTTTTTTTAATTAGGCATAATTCCAAAACATATTAACAGAAATTATCACAATTTACTAAGATTCATGTTCATGGCCACAAGGATAAACTTATCACAATACTGGAAAAGAGATATGTTACCAATCATGTCAGACTGGGAACTTAAACTTGGAGAATATGCAGTAATGGCAGCATGCATTCATAACAAAAGTTTAACTAAATATAAGCAAGAATGGCTTCCATATATATTATATATTATGCTGCAAGGCAAATTTAAGTATTTAGAGTATAGTTTTTAAGGGGAAAAAAACTAACTGAAATCAGAAATATATAAGAAGTTTAAATGTTTATAAATATTGTATATCAGTCAGAGTACAACCAAGGGGAAATTAGAAACTATTTATTTATAATGTTTTTAGTAGCTTTCTTTCATTCTTTTTGGTATCTCTAATTAACAGAATGGCAGAGATTTTGGCACTCAGCTCAGAAATTCAAATCCTCTCTCATATTGTTAAAATGGTTCACTCTGCTTTGTTTTTATGTCTAATTTTTTATCAGCAATATACTGAGCACTAACTGTGTAACTCTGGTAATTCCTTTGTCCACTTTTGATAGATAGATTATGTACCATCAAGTCGGTGTCAAATCTTTGCGACCACATAGATGCATCTTCTCCAGGATGATCTGTCCCCAACTTGGCCTTTCAGGTCTTCCAGTGGAACATCATACGAATATAAACAGTGCTCTTCTGGATCAGCCCCCTGACCCATCTAGTCCAGCAGTCTCTTCTCACAGTGGCCAACCAACTGCACAGTGAAGTTTGCTAGTCTCCCAGCAAATGACCTTCAGAGGAGTGCCATCAAGGCTAATAGCCCTTGATCCCCATGACTTCCATGAATTTGACCAACCTTTTTTGAAGCTAGCCAAGCTGGTAGCCAGCACCACGTCCTGGAGCAAATTCCAAAGTATAATTATATGTTGTCCATCACTGCTGTAATTGATCCCTCCACCTTGCTGCTGGTCATCCTCTTCTTCTCTTTCCTCTATCTTTCCCAGCATTATGAACTTCTCAAAGGAGTTCAGTCTTCACATAATTTGTTCAAAATAGGATAATATGACCCTGATCATTTTTGCATTGAGTGAGAACTCTGGATTGATTTGTTCTATAATCCATTTATTTTTATTGGCTGTCCACTGTACTCTCCAGAGTGTTCTACAATACCAAAGTCCAAAAGCATTAATATTCTTTCTATCCTGCTTGTTCAAAGTTCAGCTTTGCTTCCATAGAGGGTCACAGAGAAAACCATTATCTGCATGATTCTCGTCTTTGTATATATAGGCACAGCATGTCTCTGAATACCTTTTCTAAGGCCTTCATTGCTATCTTACCAAGAAATCGTGCATGCAGAGCAACTGCATTTATATGGAGAAAAGGTTGTAGTGGTACATGTATAAATCATATACATCAACTAAAATGTGTTGTGGTACTACACTGTAAAAACATAATTCAGACACTGAATGAAGAAAAAGATAAATATGTGTAAATGCTTTTCTTACTATGACAGCCTGAATTAAAAAAAAAAAAAAAGCACAACTGAATTACAGAATTATAGAAGAAAACACCATCCCCCAGTGTGTTACCTCCTTAGTCCCTAGAAAATATCAAGATTTTTTTTAGGTTTTGCCTCTTTTGAGTCAAAATGAGATTTAGATAAACACTTCTTAAGAGTTAATCCACCTTCCATACAGATCCCAGAAAGAACTCCCAAAAGCTTGCAAGAGCCTTCCCCAATCTGATTCCTTTCAGATGTGATTATGGGCATCAACTGATCAGGATATCAGCAGGCAACAAAGTTGAGGAAGACTGACCTAAAAATGGAGAACCCCAGAAGGAATGTAAATTAATATGTCTACACCAGTCCTCCACCTAATGAGTGGCACTGATGGGCATTGCAGCTCCGCTCACCAAGACAACACCCAGTAGGGAAAAGCTGCAGTGTTGATGAGCAGTGTAGTTTAACACATCTGGAAGACACTGAGTTGGGTTATGTTCTTGCTTCAGACATTGTGCTGAAAACCATATTTTTGCACCTTGCCAGCAGGCCTTCCTCATTAGATCTATTGCTTGCTAAACACAAGTAATTGATCTTTTAAGAGGCATGTCAGGACCCCATAATTGAGCCATAATCCCTACTTAAAGCAAGCCAGACAGTAGTTGGCAATATTAGCACCATGTTGTTCTCTTTTCAGAACAGAATGAAGGAAAGCTTAGAAAAATAATATTGGCTGGAGGTTATGATAGTCCAACAATCTTGGAGGGCACTAGGTTGAGAAGGCTGAACTGTATTGTACTGTATGGGGTTTTTTTCCCCTTAAACAATGCAAAGTATAATACATGTATGTGGATTGCCCCTGAATACATGGGACAAAAGAGCAGGGATGAAGCCCAACTCTGAAGGGGAAAGGGAAGAGCGGGTGAAAAAATAGTGGAGAGCAGAAATAAAGGAATTCCTTGTGGAAGAGCTGTAGTGAATAGACAACTCTGCTCCCTCCCACGGTCATTGTAGCAATTGACATTTTGGTGGGAGGAGCTCTCATTGGCTCTAAATGAAGAGTTTTGATTTTTATTTTAATCTAATGCTAATGGACAAGTAATGGGAATTGTGGCTATGTAGGATGTAAAAATTACATCCAGTATGATTCTGATTAAAAATTGATCCCCACCCAGTTTACTATAATTTTTCTACTTAGTGTAATTTGGCTACTTTGGATAATAATATTGTACTTTGATCTCAGTTTTAGAAACTGAAATGTTGGGAAACCTAGTCTTTTAAGTGTTGTTTGCGAAATGCCCTCCTGTCGTTATTTAGGACGTACAGTTGCTCAACAAAGCTGTTAACAAAATCAGAAAGACAGTCAAGACAATACTAAAAAAGCAAATGCAAATACAAAATTAAGTTAACTGTGCCTTTCAATCTTTTTTAAAAGATGTATTCATTCATAGGAATATGAATGAATATTATTCTTAAATAATAAGAAGGAAGAGTTTTGTGTTGTTTTTTGTTTTGTTTTGTATGTAGTGTAAATTGTCCTCCATAGTTTTCTGGAGATTATTTGTATTAATCACACATGACAAGAGTATCATTTCACAGTTTACAAACTACTCTGAATGAAGGACTGATGCTCAAAAAAAGCCTAGCTTGACTTCTGGACAACGTGTAAAATTATAATTAATGTGGATTAATGATACTCTACCCGAAAGCATAGAGAATAAGCATAGAGGTGGGGGGGGGGTGTCTGTGTGTGTGTGTGTAATCTTGCAGCTTTGTTCTTTCAAACCTTAATATTCAGGTTTTTTTAGTTCTTTTTGCTTCTTTTTTGTGTTTTGGTTACAAATAGAAAGGTTATGTTGTCTCATATAGCAGAAATGGTGGCCTACATGAGATGCATAAAATAATGGCAGT